CACTGAATGACCACAGAATGACTACGGAGTGACCACTGAGTGACCACTGAGTGACCACAGAATGACCACTGAGTGACCACTGAGTGACCACGAAGTGACCACGGAGTGACCACTGAGTGACCATGGAGTGACCCACTGAGTGACCACTGAGTGACCACTGAATGACCACTGAGTGACCACTGAGTGACCACGGAGTGACCACGGAGTGACGAAGGAGTGACCACTGAGTGACCACAGAATGACCACTGAGTGACCATGGAGTGACCACAGAATGACCACTGAGTGAATACTGAGTGACCAAGGAGCGACCATGGATTAACCCATGAAATGACCATGGACTGACCCATGGATTGACCCAACGACTCATGGAGTGACCCATTGACCGACCCATGGAATGACCCATGGATTGACCCATGGATTGACCCATTGAGTGACCACTAAGTGACCCATGGGTTGACCCAATGACCCATGGATTGACCCACTGACTGACCCATGGATTGACCCATTGAGTGACCACCAAGTGACCCATGGATTGACCCAATGACCCATGGATTGACCCATGGATTGGCCCATTGAGTGACCACTAAGTGACCCATGGATTGACCCAATGACCCATGGATTGACCCACTGACTGACCCATGGCCATGGATTGACCCATTGACTGATCCATTGACCCATGGATTGACCATCAAGTGACCCATGGAGTGACCCATTGACCAACCCATGGACTGACCCCTGGATTGACCCACTGACTGACCCATGGAGTGACCCATGGAGTGACCCATTGACCAACCCATGGACTGACCCCTGGATTGACCCACTGACTGACCCATGGAGTGACCCATAGATTGACCCATTGACTGACCCATTGACCCATGGATTGACCATGGAGTGACCCATGAACCAACCCATGGACTGACCCATTGACCAACCCATGGATTAACCATGCACTGACCCATAGACTGACCCATGGAGTGACCCATGGAGTGACCCAATGACCCACGGACTGACCATGGAGTGACCCATGGATTGACCCATTGACCAACCCATGGAGTGACCCATTGACCGATTCCATTGACCAACCCATGGATTAACCATGCACTGACCCATAGACTGACCCATGGAGTGACCCATGGATTGACCCATTGACTGACCCATGGAGTGACCCATGGATTGACCCATTGACCGACCCATTGACCCATGGATTGACCCATTGACCGACCCATGGATTGACCCATGAATTGACCGACTAACCCATTGACTGACCCATGGACTGACCACGGATTGACCCATTGACTGACCCATTGACTGACCCATGGATTGACCCATGGATTGACCCACTGACTAACCCATTGACCGACCCATGGATTGACCCATGGATTGACCGACTAACCCATTGACTGACCCATGGACTGACCATGGATTGACCCATTGACTGACCCATTGACCAACCCATGGATTGACCCATGGATTGACCCACTGACTGACCCATTGACCCACTGACTGACCCATTGACCCATGGATTGACCATGGAGTGACCCATAGACCAACACATGGATTAACCCATTGACCAACCCATGGATTAACCATGGATTGACCCATTCACCAACCCACGGATTAACCATGGACTGACCCACTGACCGCCCCCTGGACTGACCCACTGACCGCCCCCCGGAGCGACCCCGGAGTGACCCTCACCTGACGAGCATGGCGCGCACCTGGTCGGCCTCGGGGAACAGGTCCCAAACCTTCCCGTTCATCTTCTCGTTGACGACGTAGCGGTGGCAGCGCCGCCAGTCCCCCGTCTTCATGGCCTTGGACGCCGCCACCACGTGCTCCCGCATCGACTCCGGGGGGCCTGGGGGGCACGGGGACCAGTTATGGGGGGAGGAACCACTTATGGGGCTGAGGAACCAAGTTATGGGGGGAGGAACCAGTTATGGGGCTGAGGGACCAAGTTATGGGGTGAGGAACCAAGTTATGGGGTGAAGAACCAGTTATGGGGCTGAGGGACCAAGTTATGGGGGGAGGAACCAGTTATGGGGCTGAGGAACCAGTTATGGGGCTGAAGGACCAAGTTATGGGGTGAAGAACCAGTTATGGGGCTGAAGGACCAAGTTATGGGGTGAAGGACCAAGTTATGGGGTGAAGAACCAGTTATGGGGCTGAGGGACCAAATTATGGGGTGAGGAACCAGTTATGGGGCTGAAGGACCAAGTTACAGGGTGAGGAACCAGTTACGGGGTAAGGAACCAGTTATGGGGTGAGGAACCAAGTTATGGGGTGAGGAACCAGTTATGGGTCTGAGGGACCAAGTTATGGGGGGAGGGACCAAGTTATGGGGTGAGGAACCAGTTATGGGGTGAGGAACCAGTTATGGGTCTGAGGAACCAAGTTATGGGGGGAGGGACCAGTTACGGGGTGAGGAACCACTTATGGGGCTGAGGGACCAAGTTATGGGGTTGAGGAACCAGTTATGGGGTGAGGAACCAGTTATGGGGCTGAGGGACCAAATTATGGGGTTGAGGAACCCAGATATGGGGTGAGGAACTAGTTATAAAGGGAGGAACCAGGTTATGGAGGAGAAGAACCAAATTATGGGGTGAAGAACCAAGTTATGGGGCTGAAGGACCAAGTTATGGGGTTGAGGGACCAAGTTATGGGGTGAAGAACCAGTTATGGGGCTGAAGAACCTGGTTATGGGGTGAGGAACCAAGTCATGGAGCAGAAGAACCAACTTATGGAGTTGAACCACCAAACCAACACCTCAACCCCAAACTTACGGACCAGAAAACCCAATTTTCGACCCCAAACCCCCAACTTTTGGGTCAGAAAACCCAACTTTTGGGTCTGAGTGACCAACCACGATCTGAGGAACCTCAAGGTGAAGAACCACCAACCTACGGGGCAGAACCACCAAACCAAGACCGGAAAACCCAAACTTATGGGTCTGAACCCCCAACTTTTGGGTCAGAAAACCCAACTTTTGGGTCTGAGTGACCAACCACGGTCTGAGGAACCTCAAGGTGAAGAAGAACCACCAACATATGGGGTAGAACCACCAAACCAAGACCAGAAAAACCAATTTTTGGCCCCGAACCCCCAACTTTTGAGTCCCAGTAACCAACCACAGTCTGAGGAACCTCAAGGTGAAGAAGAACCACCAACATATGGGGTAGAACCACCAAACCAAGGCCAGAAAAACCAACTTTTGAGTCCCAGTGACCAACCACGGTCTGAGGAACCTCAGGGTGAAGAACCACCAACCTACAGGGCAGAACCACCAAACCAAGACCAGAAAAAACAACTTATGGGTCCCTATGACCAACTTCTGCATCCCAATGACCAACCACGGTCGGAGGAACCTCAAGCTGAAGAACAACCACCAACTCACGGCGTACAACCACCGAACCAACACCTCAACCCCCAACTTTCGACCCCGAACCCCCAACTTTCGACCCCGAACCCCCAACTTCCGACCCCCCCACCCACCCAAAAAACCCCCTCCTCACCCAGCAGGGGCTGCCTCTCCCCCACCCGGAGCTGGTGGTGGAACTGTTTGCTGATCATCCGGCGCCGGGCGTCGAACTCGTGGGCGGCCATGTAGGGGATCTCCAGCAGCATGGCCGCCACCAGGTAGACGCACTCGAGCAGCTCCAGGTTGACGTGCATGTGGAAGGGCACCTGGCGCCGCTTCTCCACCTTCTCCTGCTCCGCGTTGCGCTCCTGGAGGCTCCGCAGGAGGAGCCCCTGGCCCAGCAGCTCCTTGGCCCGGCCGGACGACTGGATGTCCAGCAGGGCGTTGTGGGCGTCCTTGATCAGCCCCTGGCGGAAGGCGCAGATGCCCAGCTGGACCATGGTGCGGTTGTACAGGATCTGGGGGGG